GTTGTTGGAGGGATGGGGGTGGTTGTTGTTGGAGGGATGGGGGTGGTGGTTGTTGGAGGGATGGGGGTGGTGGTTTTTGGAGAGATGGGGGTGGTGGTTGATGGAGGGATGGGGGTTGTTGTTGGAGGGATGGGGGTGGACGTTGGACATTCATCCATTGGCTCACAGCAGCTAACACGTATCTCATAGTCATAACAGAGTCCAAATGGTCCATTGCCAAACTGGTCTTCATTATTGCAAACAAAGCCAAGTGAGACGTTGCACTGGACCTTCTGCCCCAGCTCCTCCCAGCTGAGATGTGGTTCCGTGGCAGACCTGCACTCAATGTTGTCAGGAGCCCTGCAGACGCCCTCAAACGTCTCCCGGTCACCACCATCACTACTACTGTCCGGGTGGTCCTCATTGATCCAGTCAGACCAAAGGCAGCAGAGCTCTGGGGAAGCAAAGACCATCATTAGTCACCATGCCTAGAAGAGGGACTCCAGGAGGCCACCATGATTCAGAGGGCTCAGTGGCTGCCATGACCGTCCCCCAGATCTGGCCTCTCCTTTCCTAATCATCACTGGGAACAGATTGTAGGGTCGAACCCCACTGCCACACTCATTTTGCACCTGAAAAATGGGTCTGGAGAGGAGGGGCCACCCATGGCCATGCCAGGTGGGTCACACCCAGTCTCCAAAGCTCCAGCCCAGTGCCCCTTCCTCAGCTATTTTCAAATATTTTTGTCAGAAGACTAAATAAGAAAAGGGTCACCCATTCCCACGAGGAAGCCAGAAACTGTGATGAAGTCACCCAAATACACGCATCTTTGGTCCATAGCAGGGGCCCAGCATGTCAGGGTCCTGGTGGAGCCTACTGAGGCCATGTGAAACTTAGCTCCCTTTTATCAATGTAAGATGCTGTCCATGTCACTTACTCTGAGTTGTTGATACAACTGCAATAGAGGGAAAAATAAGAGAATGTTATTGCCTAGGTCAGGATTTCTAAAAGTCTTTATTTTAAGTTTCTTTTTTTCTGTAGCTATCCCACTCCCAGCAGCATGTGGGGTGGTAGCTACAATTTCAACCAGAACAAATGAGGCATTTAAGGGAATTTCTCTGACTTCCCGGACTCTGACAGAAACTTTCCTGGTTTTCAGAAATATCCCTGAGTCACTTTCCACTGTGGTCTGGGCTTGGGGATGTGGACATGATATGGCCATCTTAGCTCACAGGCCAGGGGAATCAGGGGTCATGACCCCCAGCTCAGAAGGCCTCCAGTGTGCTCCCACCCCTAGCAGGGCCATCATACCAGGTGCTAGATGCAGGGGAAGGCAATCCCCAGTGTATCAGGGAGGAGGCTGGGGGGCTCACCTGTGCTGGGGGTCGTGGTGATGGTGGTGGTAGTGAATGTGGTGCTGCTGGGGGTGATCGTGGTGGAGATTGTCGGGGTGGATGGGTGTGGCGTGGTGGTGGTACAAATGTTGAAGTGCTTCTCCACTGTCCCATTAGGGCCGCAGGTCTCCCAGTAGCAGAAGACACCATCCTGGGTCAGGTTGAGAAGCTTTCCTAGGGTGAGAGGAGGGAGAGGTGGGGACAGCTGGGTGTACTCCAGCTCTGGCAGGTGGCAGACAAATGCCCCAATGGGACTCTGACCCCAGACGCTTCCCATGAAAATAGGGTGAGGAAATTCCCCACAGGGCACCAGCTCCCATAAGAAACAAACTCCTCACATGAGCTCTGGGGACTGCTGCTCATCAGAGGCAGGTCTGAGCTGGGAGGGGCCGGAGAGGCCTAAGAGGCCTATGGGGCAACATCTGGAAGGAGACCAGCCCCCCACCCAGGGCCTGGCTTTCCCAGGTCAGCCCCTGGCTTGCTGCCTCAGTGGCAGCAGAGGGCAGCTCACCTTCCTCAGGCTGGCAGACGACTTGGGAAGAACTGTTGCACACACTGCAAAGCAAGAACCACTCTGGGCCCCGCTGGCCTGCCCTGTGCAGATGCCAGCCCCCCAACACCCCAGCACCCCCCAAGGCCCCTCTGGAGCTCTAACTGGGGGCAGGAAAAGCCAGCAGAACAGGGCACTGGCCATGTGTATGCACCTGGCTGTGAGTGTGTGTGAACATGTGTGCACCTGGGGGGACTGTGTGTTCACAAGCGTGCACACACATGTTGCTGTGTCGGTGTGTGTGCCAACACATGTATGCATGCATGTGCCCATAGGTCCCCTGCCCCCTGCCATGTGGGCACAGGTACCAGGATGAGCAGAGGTCCTCAGTGGGAACTTGTGCTCCGGGTGGGTAGCGAATGTCCTCGAAGTAGCAGCCACACTTGTCCTCAGAGACACACTTCTTCAGGTCCTCATCATAGATGGGCCTGTCCTCAGGGCAGTGGGGGTAGCAGCCTGGGGGCACAAGGCACAGGGCTTGGACCACCACAGAGGATCCCAGCCCCGCAGTCCTGCCTATCAGTCCTTCTCTCGGGCTCCTAAGCCAGGGATTGGAAAGGCAGTGCTAGCCTCCCGGTCCCTCTGGGCCCCCCGTACAGCACTGGTGGGCAGCACCTCTAACTCATGTCCCTTCAGGTCACCCCTTCCTACCCTTCCTAGGACCTGCTCCTTCACGTCACTAATTCTCAGCCTGGACCCCAGGGCTCACAGTGGCACCCCAAACTCACATCTGTAATGCCCCCACCCCATGAGGGCCACATGGTCCTCAGCACCCCCACTCCTAAAGTTTCAAGTTTGGGGATCAGCCTGCTTCCTCCCTGATTCTATGACAAGGTGAACCTGATCCCCCCCAGGCCTTGGGTGTCCAGACCATCAGGCCTTTCTCTGGGTGTCCCATGGGTCCCCAGATGGGGCAGGCCAGCCTGCCGTTAACCACCACTTCCCCTGGAGACCCTGCCACACATGGTCCACGGGTGCCCTCACCCTCCAGGTAGGACACGGAGATGTTGGAGTGGATGCCATTGACTGTCCTGCAGGTCTCAAAGCTGCGATTCCCACAGGGTTCATAGTGCCACTCACACTCATTCGGAGGGTTGTAGTAGTCACAGAATATGGCTGGGGACATGGAGACAGGTCAGACTCAGAGGATGCATGCAAGTGGGCACCTAGGTGAGGATGAGGCAGGGGTGGGCAGTGGTGTATCAAGCTCAGTCCTGCCATCCCAGGTCCCTCAGTGGCCCTAAAGCAGGATCCCCAGGCAGGTGGGGAGGCGGGGAGGTATGGACAATGTGTACGCTGCCACTTCCACTTAGATGCTTGGATGGGGAAGAGGTGTGGCCAGGCCCACAGTGTAGCAGCCTCTGGCCTCATTGTCAGCCCAAGTCCAGAACAGGTGGGCACTCACGGCACAAGTCCGGGGTCCTCCAGAATACACAGGCCTCCTCCTTGGTACACTCCTGTGCATAGGAGGCCACGGCGGAGCAGAAGCACTCACAGTCCCCGCCAGTGTCGCAGGAACACGAATCATGTACACAGGCCTCATAGAAGGGCGTGGGGTCCACCTGAGGAAGCCTTCAGTGAGCCCAGCCCATGAACATGAGGCCAGAACTTCAGAAACTTGGATAGGACACATCACCCAGCGCCAGGGCCTAGCCTGGAGTCTACAGATGTCTGGACAACTGCAGCTGGAACTGTCCTCAAGCTGTCACAGCCCCGCAGTGCTCAGCCATGCACTGACAGCCCTAAAAGCCACCCTTCCTCCACTGCACCATCTGAGAGCTGTCTGGGCATTATAGGGTGAGAAGAGCTGGTCATATGGGCACCTGTCCAAAGGTCACAGGGGACAGAACTGAAGCTGGGAGGCACTTGCCGAGTGCCCACAGAGCCCTTGAAGAAGCTATATGCCTGACACATAGCCATGACCTTCTTATTATCATGCACAGCCCTGCCCTCAGCCCAGCTCTGCCCACAGGCGGCCCCACCCACCTTGCCGTGGCAGGCCTGGAACACGCTGCTCTTGAGGATGCTGCACTGCTTCTCTGCCCAGGCGCGGCGGTGCGGGTTCAGACTGCAGGGCTCGGGGTTGGCGCTCACGTCTGGGCAGGTGGAGGCCTCTTTCCAGCTGTTGCCGAAGTCCAGCTCACTGCTCACCACCATGTGGTCCCGCGTGGTGAAGTCGTTGCTGGAGCGGTGGTCGAAGTTCCCGCACAGGCCACACACTTTGCCCTGTGAGAGACCCACGGCTCAGAGAAGGGCTGGAGGAAGGCAGGTGGGCCAATGGGTGAGGGAGGGAGCCCACCTTGTAGGATGGAGCCAGCTTAACAAAGACAGTGGTCCTCTTGTCCCAGATGATGATGACGCCAATGCTGGCCTCGACCACCAGGTACTGGCCCACCTCTCGCGTGGTGTAGGCCACGTGGTGGCCCTCATCACGCTGGATCACCACACGGTGTCTGTCCTCCAACTTCAGCTCTGTCCTCTGTCAGGAGGAGAAGGCCAGTCACAGGCAGCCCAAGGGACATGGAGGGCTCATGCATCACGAGGGAGCCTTCAACACTCACCCCCATGAAGATCTTGATGGCCTTAGAGCAGGTGACACCTGTGGTGCCACAGGGGACGTTCTCAGTGATGATGCTGAATGAGCCCATGGAGGAGTTCTGACCGCAGTAGTCCTGGGGCAACAGGGAGGTGTCGGCCAGGGGCTTGGGCCACAGGTACCCAGGTGCACCCCTCCTGGACCCTGCCAGGCCTCAGTCCCTCTTCCATTGGCTGGGGACTTGACACTTCACAAAGGAGCCTGGGGGCTCAGAGTACCCGCTAGGCAGATGCCTGGCCCTACCCTCACTTGGCCTGTCACTACTGCCCCATACACACATGCCCCTCCTTTTCCAGATTGCTTTGTTATCCCCACCCTTACCAGGTACCCACAGGAGGGTCACAGAACTGGAGGGAGGAGAGGGGCCTTATCATGCCACCCACTCACCTCTAGAATGCCAAATCCTCCTGAGAGTGAAGGGCCTGGGGCCAAGGAAGGGCCAGCCCCTTCCTCATCCCAGGGATTCCTGGTGGGCTGAAAGTCATGCTTAGGGGCAGCCTTACCTGAACAGCCACATAGGAGCAATGTCCATCGAAGTCATAGTGTTTCCCATCAAAGGTGATGTAGTGGCCGTTTCCATAGATGGAGCAGGTGCCATGGCACGGGGACTGGGTGCACACCCAGCGTCCTTTCTGGCAGGTGCTGAGGAGAACAGAAGAGAGCCTGAAGGGACTGGGCTCCCCCCTTCTCAAATGGGGCTGGACGGGACCCTGGGCACTACCGTGTGAACAACTTCCCAGGCAGCCCACACCAGCCCCAAGACCAAACACACTCACTTTGGCTCCAGGGCCAGGGGCAAACACAGAGGACCACTCTGCCATGGGGGAGGCCCCACATGATCCCACAAGACCCAGAAGACCCCACAGGGGTAGGCCCTGCCCCTCAGCCAACTCACCAGTTGTTACAATCCACCTGCACCTTGTCCCCTGGGGAGTACAGGTCTCTGTTGTGGACGCAGGGGCACTCCTCCTCCACCACGCAGCCACCTCGGCCATCATCCAGCAGCCCGTCGGGACACATGCAGCCGCTCACACACTCAGTGCGGTGCTGAGGGCAGCAGGAGCAGGAGTCAGGAGTTGATGCCCACCAGGAAAGGTCTAACCATCCAGATGCCCCTCATGCCCTGGACTCTCAGCCCCCCTCAAGCCCACCAGTGGTGGGGAGGTTGCTGTGGGCCCACTTAAAACCCCTAAACTGGCCCTGTGCTGGTGGCCTGCATGCCTCCACTTCCCTCCCAGGACCCTGGGCACAGGGAGCATAGCAGGGGAGCAGCCGCACCCTCCCAACACACCCAGACAGCCAGGGCTTCACCCCCAGCAACCCTCCCCACACGCACATAGCCAGTGGCCAGAGTCTGGCAGCTGACAGGGCGGGGTTTCACGATGGCCAGTGCAGTCAGGTTGTTGCAGTCAATGTGGATCTTTGGGGCTGTGCAGCCTGCAGGAGAGAGAGGCCATCTCGGAAAAGCTGTAGTTCAGGGGGGTGGGGATGCAGCACTTAGGCACATAAGAGAAAGGGAGGGTGCGGGGTGCAGGCCCGGGTGCATGGCTGTTCCGAGGCTGGCATCTACTTACTCTGGCCAATCAACTTGACCTGCACGCAATGCAGCCTCCCATTCTGGCAAACGCTGCAGAGCAGAGGTGGGCAGTGAGCAGGGGTTTAGGCACCATCCCCATGCAGAATGGCTACAGGAAGCCACTGCTACCCAGGAACAGATGAGAGCCTGGACGCTCTTAGAACTGTCCCCAGGCACCCTTAGGTGTCTTGGCTCCCCAGCCCCGTGCTGTGCCCCCTCCCCAGATTCTGGAACGCACCATCGCTCATCCTGCCTCAGGACCACGTCCCCTGCCTCCAGGTAAAGACCGCGGTGGTAGCAAGAGCACTTGGCCAAGGGCACACAGCGGCCCTTCTCATCCATGAAGGTATGGTCAGGGCAGCCACAGCCATCCACGGGTGCAAAACCCTGGAGGCAGTGGGTGTCAGCCTCAGAGAGGGCGCGACAGGTCCGCTGGCAAGCAGTCAGGTTGTACAGGAAGACCTGTGAGCTGGGGCAGGAGCCCACATCCTTGTCTGCAGAGGGATCCAGGACCAGAGTGAGGGGCAGGAGGGACCTGGCCCCCAGTTCCCACCCCACAGGCTGTCTCTAAGCCCCTATTCTGCCAGGAAGGGCTCAGGGCCAAGGAGGGCTACTGACCCGGTACCCAAGCTCAGAACATGGCTGCTACAGCTCTGGGCCTCACTCCCGCGGCCAGTTCCCTACTCCTGGCTAGTGAAGCTGGGAACCAGGTAGCTGGCTGCAGGCAGCTGACCCCTCCCTGCACCACCCAGGCCAAGGTCATGGGAACAGGGTCCGGCACTCACTGCAGACGCGCTCCCTCCAGCCCCACAGCATGACACCCTTGGAGGCACAGGCGTGTGCATAGGAGGACAGGGCCGCGCACAGGCAGTCTTCATTGTTCTGACAGTTGCATGTGTCATATTTGCACCTCTGGCGGCAAAATCCAATGCAGCAGACGGTGAGGTGAGAGGTCAAGAGGGGCCAAGCGCCCCGTGAGTCAGGGAGCACACACACATGCACACATGCAGGTACTCACAGACATGTGCTCACACACGTGCGGGCACTCACAGATGTGTGCTCACACACAGGTGCAGGCTCTCACAGACATGTGCTGACACATGCGGGCACTCACAGGCGTGCTCTCACACACATAGGTGCAGGCACTCACAGACATGTGCTCACACACACACGTGGGCACTCACAGATGTGTGCTCACATACATGAGGGCACTCACAGATGTGTGCTCACACACATGTGCGGGCACTCACAGACATGCACACACACACGTGCTCACACACACATTTAGTTGACAACCAGCAGGCTCAGCCATGGAACCAGGATGGCCTGATGGCTCTCAGGACCCTGCCAAGCAAAGTGGTGCGGGCTCCACCCACCTTGTAATACTCTGTGGGGTCCACGGCCGAGTGGCACCTGCCGAAGGGCGTCTCTGTCTTCTTCAGGAGGGAGCACCAGTGCTCGGCATAGTTGGCTGGACAGTGGGGATCAGAACCTCAACCAGAGCTGGGCCCCCTCCGCAGGTACCCTGCAGCTAGCTGCTTGGTCACCCGGGCTGGAGGGAGCATTGGTCCCCTCTGTGGACCCAAGCCCAGGCCCCTCACTCTGACCAGATCTCCAGGCAGCTTCAAGCAAGCTGGGTCCCCCTTTAAGGTCTCCTGAGGGGCCCAGCATCCTAGTGTGACATGTGATGGGAGCAGTAGAAGGGCGCACTGCTGTGGCACTAGGCCAATGCAAGGGCCACCACCCAGCTATTAGTGGCCCTGCCCCTCTGCTGTGTCACCTAGAAGGTTGCCATCATGGGCCACCATAAACCAGCCAATCAGCAGAAACAGCAGGTGGACAGCTGCCCTGTGAAGGGCCACCATGCCTCCACCTGCCCTCACCACAGCATCCCACTGAGAGCCTGTCTGCCCTTTCTTGAGCCCCAATGGCCAGGAGCTTGAGCCTCACCACTCTCCACGCTGAGAGAACAGGGATCGTCCAGCCAGTCCATCTTGTCCTGGCAGTTCGACTGGGCCTTCCAGGTATTGGCGAAGCCGGCCCCCGTGGCCTCCACGAGTCCACTGGCTGTCTTGAAGTCATCACTTTCCAGACCATTGAAGTTTCCACAGAGGCCTGAGGAGCCAGGACAGGGTTGGGGAGAGTCCAGGACTGGCAGGGGCCAGGCCCTTTGTGGGGACCTCACAGCAGCAAGCCAGGCAGGGCCACTCACCCTGCACCTGCCCCTGGGCAGCCTGGTCCAGTGTCACAAAGAGCTGCATGACTGGGGCTAACTGAACCTGCAGCCGGAGGCCGAAGGCCGTGTCCACAACGATGTGGTAGGAGGACGGTTGGAAGATGGAGAAGCTCGCTGCAGAGGGCAGAGGGGACACAGTGAGGCTGAGGCAGTGGATGGCGTGCTGCCTGGCCCGAGGGACCTGCAGCAGGTAGGGACACCCTTCTACTGTGCCCCCAGCTGATGCCAAGCACACCACAGGCCCTCCCCTGGGCTCCTGGACTCAAGTCCAGTGGGCCACACTCACCAGTCACGTGGGGCAGGCTTGCCCGCAGCTCATTAAGCAGCACACTACCATCAGACCCAAAGGCCACCACCTGTGGGAGGCTGAGTGTGAGCAGGGCCTTAAAGGGCCTGGGACCCCCTGGGGTGAGGGAGGGAGGGAGAGGGCGGCTCACGTTCTTCTTGCTGTCAGCCAGCAGCACCACCGTCTTCAGGCAGGTTTGCTTGTCTGTGGAGCCGCAGGGTGCCAGCTCCCCCAGAAGGGCGAAGGAATCGTTGTGGCCACCCTGAACAGGGAAGGCCAGGGTGGGCAGTTAGCCCCTGCACCTTCAGGCCCCTTCTGCTGTCTGCCTGCCCCAGGATGACAGAGAACCTAGATGCCAGCCCCAGCCCTGCCCCCTGCCCAGCCGGCTTGCCTTTGTCAGGATGTAGTAGCAGTCCCCGTGGAAGGTGTACTTCTTTCCATCGAAGGTGGTGATGTGGGCACCGCCTTCCAGGGCACAGGTCCCAGGGCACGGCAGGTCTTGGCACACCCAGCGGCCAGCGTTACAGACACTGTTGGGCAGCAGGGCCCATGGTCACCACTCAGCTGCTGCCCAGCCCACCCGCCCCAAGCCCTGGCCCGAGCCCTGGGCAGAGCCCCAGCCCCAGGCCTCACCATTGCTCGCAGTTGTCGGTGATCTCCTGGCCCGGTGCATACAAGTGCCCGTGCAGCTTGCAGTGACACCGGCTCACGGGAATACAGCCGCTGCCAGCGATGTCGTCATACACAGTGCCTGAGAGAGCCGGGGACTCCACATGACCCTGGTTGCCTCCTACCTGTGGCCACCTCTGGTCCCTTTGGGCTGACACCTATGGTCCCCTTTGGTCTCTGGTCAGGGCCTCTTCCCAGAGGCCTCCAGGCCAGGGCCCAGGAGATCACCAGGAAAGCCTCCCCCCTTCTCAGCCTCCCTGAAGCCACTCCTGGGGGAGAGTCTTGGCACTGTGCCCGCCCACCTAGACTTGCCTCTGGCATCTTATCAGTGGGACCCGGGAGAGGGAATAGCACTTCTTGTGCCATTACTGCCCCCACCGTCCAGCCAAGCAATCTCCTCACTGACTGAGAAAATCTCAGGCCTAAGGCAGCAAGGCGGCCTGTCCACCACACAGCCAAGGGGGTTATAGCGGGCAGTGTCCCCCAGTTCCCAGAGATGCACCTTCTGGGCAGAAACAACCGTCCATACGGTGCTCCTCACACAGGCTGCTTCCCTGAAGGTGTGAGCAGGTGTCCATGCAGGGCGAGCCACTCTCCAGGTAGACCATGTTCCCAGGGCAGCTCTTGGCTAGAATGGCAAAGGCAAAGGGTAAGCTGGCTGGCGGGGCACAGGTGGGAGCCCCCAGGGTGCCACCCGTGGAGGTGCTTACAGCACAGTGTGGGGGTCCTCCAGTTCCCAGGCCGGCCTCCAGCGTGTGAGCACTGGCGCGAGAACTCAGCAATGGTGCTGCAGACGCAGGTGTTGCCAGCGGGGCACTGGCAGCGGTCCTGCATGCAGGCACGCACATACAGCTCCAGTGGCACCAGGTCCTGGCAGGCCTCAAAAGCCTCAGTGGTCAGCAGCCTCTCACACTCAGCACGCTGCAGACAGAGGCGGGTGGGTGGCTGCTCACATTCTCTTCCCACCCCCAATGGGGCCCACCAGAGTGGGAGCAGCTGTTCAGTTACTCACATGCTCAGCGCAGGACGTGGGGGCCGGCGTCTCTATGGGGTCCTCACATGACTCCCCGGGCTTGTCAATCTTCTGCATGTTCCCAAATTCTAGGGCACTGAAGTGCACACCTGGGGGCACACAGCCCTTCAGCCAGGCCCTGAGGAGCCTGCAGCCCACCCCTGCCCCACCAAGTCCCAAGCCTGCCTCACCATCTGAGAGGAATTCAGAATAGGTCTGCAGGCCATTGTAGTCCCCACACAGGCCACAGGTATGGTTCTGGAATTTACTGTCCAGCTCCAGCTGTCGGGGGAGGGAACAGTGAGCTGGCGTCTGGCCAGGCCCAGGGTCCAGGGCAGCAACTGTACCACCCCTTATTTAGAGCCAGGTGGGCAGGAGGGCTGGGCTCAACTACCAAAGTATCCTGGCAGGGCAGTCTCAGTGAAGGCCAGTGCAGGCCCCCAGGGCCCCAAGGATCGCCTCCCAGGCTCAGGAGAGCCCCAGGCCTGGCCTGCTCCTACTTCCTGCCCCCACCAGCTTTTTCCCAACCCCCACTGCCCTGTGTGAAGGGTCAGACTACCATGCTCCCAGCCCTCCCTGCAGGTCACCACCCAGGGTTCCTTGCTCCTGGCACCCACCATGAGCGAGTCCTCTCGGTTCCACATGAGAGTAACACCAGTACGGGAGTAGACCTTGGTGTAGGCATCACTCTTCTCGATGAGCAGCCCGGGGCTGTAGTGAGGAGTACTGACCCTGGGGGCAAGGCAGTCTCTCAGTACACTGCCCAGGCCTACCCTGGCTTGCCCTCCCCAGAGGGCTCTGAGGTTGTGTAAATTGCATGTGCATCCTGTATGCATCACAGGTTGGGGAGACCTGGGCCTTGGTGCACCAGCTCATCCTAGACCAGCTCCTGCCCTGGCACCGCAGATGTGGCTGGCCTTTGGGATAGAGATGGGGGACATGGGCCAGAGAGCAGCTGTCCACCTGTTCACTTTGGCTGGCCAGGCTTCCTTGGGGTAGAGCCAGCCCTAAACATCTCTCCCGGGCCCTCCTCTCAGGGGCTCTCTCCCCTGCCCCACTGCCTGCAGGGCTGTCCCTACGGCTGCTAGGGCCCAGCCTCCACACCTCAGTCCCAAGGGCCCTCAACCCATTCATGGGCTGGAGCCTCCTGCGGGAAATAGAATCCCCAGGGGCAGGAAAAGGGCTTAAGGGCGAGTCCTGCAGGTGGAACAAGAATGTGCTTACTGGGCCTCATTGTTCCAGGGACAATCTGGGGACAATAGCTCCCTAGGCCTCCTCCTGCCCTGCTGCTGTAACCCTAGCCAGGGAGTGGTACACAGGGCCTCTCCACGGTCCCAGGCACCTCAGCATGGTGGGCCCCAAGGGGAGGGGCTATGAGCAACCCTCGGGATCAGTCAAGCCCCTTGCCTGCTGCAGTGGGGTTCATCAGGATTTGGTGAATGAATGACTGATCTGAACCCAAACCACAAGGCTTTCCTTAGCATGGGGGGGGGGGTGTCTCGTGGTGTTTCCCAGGGATGTGCTTGCTCACAGAAGCTACCAGTGCCCCCACCACTGGCATGTGGGAGGGGACGCCCCACCCCACTCACATGGCCCCATTCACCACGGCCAACTGGCGGGTGAGGTAGATGATATCATCCTTGATGGTCAGCAGGACAGACTCGATCTGGGGGTGGCCCCCACCCTGTCCCAGGCCCCGCTTCAGGTGCACAGAGAACTCCTTGTAGGAATCCCTACAGTCAGAGGCGAAGTTGTAGTCACAGAGGCCAGGGAATCGGAAGATGTCGCCATCGAAGGTCTTGTAGTGGAAGTCGCCCCAGGTGCTGCAGACGTTGTGGCTGTGGCTGCGGGCTCTGCCCTCTGAGGGAGCAGCGGGAACAAGGGCTGAGTGGCCCAGGCCAGGGACAGCCACATCCCCTGCCCCCAGAGCTGCCTTCACCCCATGAAGCTTCCCCTGCCCAACCACCCTCAGAGGCTGCCCACACCATGTCCATCACTGGGGGTTAGGCCCTACTGGTCTGCTCCATTCCTGGCTCTGCACCAGCCTCAGTGGGATGGTGGCCTCCCGTCCTGTGTCCTCAGTCACCAGCTAGACAAAGAGCCCACTCTCCAGAAGGGGCTGTGTTGGCCTTGGCCCCTCTGGGATTGGGGACCTCCTGATGGGCCCCTGGCCCACCTGCACCCCCACACCCAAAGGTGTTGGGGCTTCGCTGCTACATCCACCTGGCTCTATGCCCTGGACCCACACTTCATCCCAAGGAGATGGGGGAACCCAAACTCGTCCTTGCCTTTCACCCTGAAAGTCAGCAGAGTGGGGGCTGCAGGAGCTCCCCCAGGCCAGAGGCAGACTCCACCAGAGCTATCCAGGCTATTTGGGGGCATTTAGAACCTCCCCAAGGGCTCAGGGCCACCCCAGGACGTTCTGCTGTCCCTTGCCCTCTCACCTCGCTGGGGCTCTGAGCCCCTGGCCACGGACAGGGCCAGACACACAGCCACCAGGCGGGCTAGCGGCAGCCCCATGGTGGCTGGGAAGGGTGGTGCAGGTAGCAACCCCCAGGGCAGGGGTCCAGGCTTTATAAGCCCCAGTGGGAGGGTGGGAGGGGCAAGGGGTGGGTGGGGCATTTGCCAGATTATCAAGAAAACAGCTGTGGGAAAATATTGATTCAAGTTATCTGAGGTTTATCTCTTTATAGCTTCTCGGGTAAACTTGGCCTTGCTCAGGACGGGACAGCCCCGTAACCTAACACACACCCAAAGGACAGCTCCAGCCTCTCCCAGCTCTTAGCGGGACCAGACTCCATGGGGTCCACAGAGGGCAGTCCCACCAAAAGCATGTCCTGGCAGGCTCTGTAGATACCCACAGCCCCCAGACCCCAACCAGTGCCCCCTGCAAAGCGCAGGCCACATAAGGTGCTCCCAGGTGGGCCGAGACCACCACAGGCCCCCAGGCCTGCTCATGCTCATATCACTGGAGGGGACCAACGCTCCCTGACCAGGTGCCCAAGCCTTGGGCAGGGCAAGGGGGCAGCAGCCACTACAGCCACACGAGGGGCCTCCCCAAGGGCAGGGAGGATATAGGCTCCTGTGAGGTCCAGGACGCTGCCCCAACTCCCAAGGGTCTCTCAGCTAGGGCTCTGCCAGGCCCTCGCCTCCGTAGTCTCCTCCCTCTCCGGGCTGAGCCAGTCTCTGGAATTACTTGTAAGTAGAACTTGGGGAGCTCCCGCCTGGCCAGAGCGCACAATGGAGCCTGGGGACTGGCTTGCGGCTAGGAATGGCTGTCAGCTTCTCTTCCTGAGGACTGCGTGGGCACCACAGGCCCAGGGCTCCAGGGTGAGGCAGAATGCCTAGGCTTTCACTCAAGGAGGGGTCCTGTCCCAAGAGCACTACCCTCCGATGGACCTCACATTGGCCACAGTCTCACTAGTGTCTGGAAACACCAGCGGAAACATGCAGCACTCCGGCTTCACCAGCCCCAAGCTGTGAGGGCACGGTACACGCACGGAGCTTGAGGATAGCGGGATACTCATAGACAAGGCCGATAGCTGGTGGGCAAGGGCCCCCTCTACAGAGACAGGTTCTGAATTTAGTTTCTAACTTTGACCAGAGGGCAGAGCACAAGTCTCCAGTTCCAACCTTATCCCCAAGTGCCAAGCATGAGTGGGAAAACATTCTTCCTGGCAGTAGGGAGATGGGGTTGGGGGCACTACTCCTTCCCTGACCTCCCTGTGGCCAACCTCTTACACATAGTGACCCTTGCTTGGGCCAGGCCACTGTCAGGAATCTCACCAGGCCTTCCCTAGCACTGCGTCCCAGCCCTGCACTCTGATGCCACCTCCCATTCTGGTCCCTGGGCCACTGCAGCTTGAAAGGACATCACAAAGGTGCCAGCAGCTGGGGAGTCTGTGGTGAAGCCCTCGCCCCTCCTGCTGCACCCACCTAGGCCTGGCCTCTGAACTCCCTGCCCAGACCTGGACACAGGGATGGAGCGGGGCAGTGAATGTGTGGCCTGGGCCAGGGGAGCACAGATTAAGAAACCACAGCAGCTGGGCCAGAGCAGTGCCATTGTGCCACATCCTGGGGCGGGTTCCACACACTGGCACCAAGCCCTGCAGAAACCCAAGAACAGGGCCAGCTCCTGGGCCCCTTGTCCCGGACGTGCCTCCGTGGGGCCCATGGGGGAAGTGATTTTCCATGCTGGCTCCCTCTGCCTGGTGGGGTCTGGGGATGCTGAACGAACCCAGAATGCCCAGCACAGTCCCTCCTGCCCCGAGGTCTAAGGAGGTGCGTCCTCCCAGGTCTGAGGAAGTGGGTCCTCCCAGATCTGAAAGGTGGGTCCTCCCGGATCTGAGAAGGAGTATCCTCCCAGGTATGAGGAGGTTGATCCTCCCCAGGTCTGAGGAGGTGGGTCTTCCCCAGGTCTGAGGAAGGGGAGGAAGGTGGGTCCTCCCAGATCTGAGAAGGAGTGTCCTCCCAGGTCTGAGGAGGTGGGTCTTCCCCAGGTCTGAGGAAGGGGAGGAAGGTGGGTCCTCCCAGATCTGAGGAGTATCCTCGCAAGTCTTAGGAAGTTGGTCCTCCTCAGGTCTGAGGAGGGGGGTGCTCCTGAGGTCTGAGGGGGGGTCTTCCCAAGTGTAAGGAGAGGGTGTTCCCCAGGTCTGAAGGGGGGATCCTCCCAGGCCTGAGGAAGGAATGCTCCCTAGGTCCAAAAAGGAGAGTTGTCCACGGTCTGAGGAGGGGTTGCTCCCCACGTCTGAGGATAGGGTCTTCCCAGGTCTGGGGGTTCCTCCCCAGTCTAAGGAGGGGGTCCTCCAGGTCAAAGGCCAGAGTCCTTCTAGGTCTGAGGAAGGGAATCCTCCCAGGTCTGAAGAGGGGAGTCCTCCCTGGGTCTCAGGGGAGTGGGTCCTGCCCGGGTCTGGCCGGGGGGTCCTGAGTCCAAGGAGGTGATCCTATGTCCTGAAGTGGAGGGAGGAATAGGGGCTTTGACCACTTTGGGGAACTACTGGAGGTGCCACTTTGGGACCAGTCTGTACTGGCTGCAGGCAGGACACTGCTGAGGAGAGAGCTGACTGCCCAGCCTAGGGCTTGGCTCAGAGCACTGCCCCCAGGTCAGGATCCTAAGACCCTTGGTCTCCCCTGGCCTGGCTGGTCCCACATCCAGCTGCATTTGTCCTGACAGGACACTGTTGCCAAGGGCTACATGGAATTTACAGCCTTGACCAAGGGAGGAGGCATTGAGGACGTCACACAGGCACCTAAAGTGACTATCCCACCACAGTGTGTCCACAAACCTGACTCATCAGGAAGCTGTTGTGGAAAGGAAGGAGGAGGAGGGGGCAGAGGAGGAAGGGTAGGAGGGGGAGGGAGGGGATGAAGGAATTAAAGCTGGTGAGGAAAAGGAGAGGGGACCCATAACCTCCAGGAGCAGCCAACACGGCAGGTGAATCCCCAGCCCGCCATTCTGTCACTCATATGGTGGCGAATTGTCCATCATTATGGCTGGGCCATGGTGCCCAGGTTTTGGCTAAACATGCATCCATATGTTGCTGTGAGAGCCATTTTCAGAAGTGAGTGGGTGGCACTTCCTGGGGTGGGTGGGCCTCAGTTGAAGGCCCTAAGCAGAAGTCCTAGTCCCTGAGAACCAGGGCATCTGCCCAGATGGCCTTCAGACCCCAGCAACAGCATCATCTCTTCCCTGGGTTTGCAGCCCACAGCCACCCTACAGACCCCACCCTGGCAGCCCCCACTACCATGTGAGCCAGCAGCAGGTGCACAGCCCAGACCCACAGGGGCAGGGGCAGTGATGGGCTCAGGTGTGTGGAGAGCACCCCTTGGCCCACATGGCAGCTCTGTGAGCCCCATCTCCACAGCCACTGTCTCCCCCATCCTGGCATGACCACGTGGGTGACTGCAGGTCACCACATACAGCCATGTCTGTCATCTCAGGCCATTTCCCATGACCCCTGATCTGATTATTAACCTGTGTTACAGAGAGGAAACTGAGTCACTAAGCATCTCATGTCCCAGTCTCTAGGCCAGAGTCTCAGGGAACATGAAGGAACACTGGCCTGGCGCCTACCCTACTGACTACGGAGCCCTAGCCAAGCCTCGCCAGCCACAGGCCATAGTCCCCAGCCCTCTAGACACAATGGAGATCCCAGCCCCAGCCACCCACAAAGGCAGGCCAGCAGGACCCAGACCTAATCCTGGGAGTGAGTATCTGGGGATTCAAGGGGGAAAATACCAGCCATGCCCACCCCTCCTTGGGCAGACTCTGAAGTCATGAGCATGTCTCCCTCCCAGGGCCTAAAGGTTCCAAAAGGCCAGGGGCGGGGGGCGGGGGGGGGTGTGTGTGCAGACCCAGGTGGCACATCGCCTATGTCTCACATGGTTTAAAATAGGATGTGTGATGGTGAGTAAGTGTGCACACAGTGGTGTTTGCTCTCAAGTGAGAGGTCAGGAGGGTCAGGAGGTGAGAAGGTCAGGACCCTCAACCAGGCCAGGACCCCACTGAGGGCCTTTTTGGAGGAAAGGGAAATCCCCCACCATCAGGCAGGTCACTGGGCTTCAGGAGTCCAGCCACCCTCAGGCACTTACCCTGCTCCTCTCAAATCTTGGTCCCAGTGTCACTCTTACTGTGAACACGGTCCTTGCCATCCTAGCCACAGTGTATGACCATTTAGGGCCTTCCTGCTGTGCATGACTCAAGGACAGTGTGGCTATGTAGGCCCTGCCATGGGCCTGCCTTTCAGTAGATTCACCCCACAGCTCTGCTTCTGGATGGGGGGTAGGTAGGTGGGTAAGTGGGTAGGTGAATGGGAGGGTGGATAAGTGGAAGGATGGGTGAGTGGGTGGATGGAAAGAGGGATGTGTGAATGGACGAGTGGATGGGAAGATAGATGGGTGGATGGGTGGGTGGATGGGAGGGTGGATGGATGAATGCGTGGGTGGGTGGGTGGATGGATGGATGAATGGATGTATGGGTAGATGAATGAGTGGGTGGATGGGAGGATGGATGGATGGATGGATGGAGGATGAATAGATGGATGGGTGGGTGGATGGG